TCATAAAAGTAGGAATCAGTTCTTTGTTCTTATCTAGGATGCTCCTGCAAACACTAGTTAATTCTTACTGTAAAGAAAGTAACAATAGATTTATTTTTCCACAGGGTTACTTCCTTAATTCTGTACATCAATTTCCTTTTGCTAGGCCGGGACAAAGTATTGTAGAGGTTTTCAAGGTAACATCATAACTTGAGTCTCTCTAAACAAACCTTCCAGTGAAAGAACTTCCTTTTGGTTTTTTTTTCACTTTTATTAGCAGCAATTGAGAAAACTGCAAATGATTGGGAAATCACAAAGCAAATCATGGGATTTTTTGTCAAGCTTATGACTTCAGGAAGACCTCACGGATTTAAGTCAGTATTTCCTTGTTTTGCAAATTGAGCTCCTAAATCAGAGGAAGACTGTACAAGTAATTGGAAAATACAGCTTTTACTGAGCCTTAAGATTTTTTTAAAGACAGCAAATGCACATTTCTGAAGTCAAGGACATCCCCTTGGTTTTAGTAAGTGAACAGTTTTCAACAAATGAAATCCCAAACCCTCTTTAAACATCTCAAGTGGTAAATCCAAGAAACTCTTACCACCAGGGCCTCTGTTTTTCCTTAAAGAGCTATCATCAGTTCTGTCTGTCTGCCCCATAGAAAACATGGGTTTTGCATGCTTATGGAGGTTAACTTACACATCTCAAAATCTCAAGGTAGGCATATCACAGTTTTAACATGTTTGATGAATGATATTATCTTTACTGACTAAACTGTTGAAACAACTTCAGTTTACATTAAAGCTTTGAAATCTGAAGCAATGTGTTAAAAATACACATTAAATTTTTCTTCTGATTTAAACCAGAGGTTTGTGAGAGGGATGCATGTCCTCCTGCCTGTGCATTGCAGCATAAAATACTAATCAATGGAAGGTAGGAGGGGGAAAAACAGACTAGCAAGCATGCTTTCAACTTGCCCATTTATAACATCACAGGATTCATCTGGTTTATTACAAAGGTTCATTTTCCTTTGAAGCCCAAAACAGTGGTTGCTAACAAAACCAGTGTGTGAGAGGGGAAGCATCAATGGTCTGTTCTAACGTAGCAATTTGTGTTGGTAGGCTGAGTCCTGTGTGAAAAGCTGCTAATCAAAATGGTGTTTTGGGATAAAAGTATTGTTTGGATGTGGCTAATTATAGAATCTAGAACAAACCTATTGTCTTTGTTCCCTCTGGATGAAAGCTGGGAAACTGACTGATTATGATGAGTGTGCCCTGCTCCTTCCTACACTCCCAGTGTAGGAAGTACTCCCATAGTCTATTCTTTTCTACACTGTTTTGGCCAGCAAGCCAACAGCCAAGACCTGCTAAAGCCACTGAAGAGGACTCCTGAAAATACTTACAGGTGTACTTATTTTAATGTTAAGTTTCATTTCTGCTTAATGGAAATAGACCCAGGAATATGAACATCAGTTTCTATTGAAGCTCTAATGGGAAATATCAAAGGAAGTTTGGCTTTTGTTTCCAGTACGGCAATAATGATCAGACAAAAAGAGAGCTTTAAAAAACCAAGGTCCTTATTCTCTTTTATTAAAGTACTTCAGGTGAAGCGACATCCTTTCAGGAGCTTAACACAGAGAGATGACTTGATGTTTTCTTTTTCAGATCAAGCTATGTACGTTTGGTTTCTTGCCATGTAAGAAGGTGCCTTGAAGCTAACTAAAACTCAGTATAAGCATGGCTCATGTTGGAAGATGTATGCTCTATGACAAGCCTTGGAGCTTGGATATCTCTGAATTCCCCAGCATATTATGGCACAGACATTAAAATGGAAAATGGTAAGCTCTGAACATTCAGTATGTTTTACATGAAGTGACAGCAGTCTGAAAGCAAAACCATTGCCACATCTGCCTGAGGAAAGGCCAATGAGAAAGCAAATTAGAGGAGAACTCCCTAAAACCTGAGTATTTCTTCATACTACTCACACATGAATCTACTGTGAATGACACCACATCTATTAATGGTCTTTTCACTAAAATACCACTGGGAAAAGCCACAGTGGGAAAAGCATCTAGCTTCTTAGTGCTGAGCTATAGAAAATTCTATGTGGAGCGCATCAGGCCAAATGGACTGAAATAAGAAACTTCAGTTGCTGCTTAATGACTACCCTGGGGAAAAATGTATTTGTTTTAAAATACAAACAGTGTGTTTCTTACCAACTCCGATTAACTGAATAAGAGAAATGGTGAAATCTTCCTCAGTCTGTCGAACCAGTGTCTCTATGGTTAGCCCTATGACACTCAGCAGAGACAAGATAGTGACACAGAAGTAGATCTTCACAGGAAACGAGAGCTCTGAACAAGGCTTTATCTGTAAAGGAAGAACATTCTTAAACATGTAACACAGTACAAACTAGTTGCTGTTCCTTAAAAGATGGCACCAGGCCAGCAACGCCTGCTTTGCTTCCACCTGAGGTTGGCAGTGACAGGACAAAGGAACTGGAGTTGCTGGGAGCTTGGGCTGAGCCACGGCTCCATTGGGATCATTCAGCATTGGATTGCCGTGCTTTTCATGGACATCAGGAATGCTGCTTTCTGCACATGCAGGAGCTTTTGATGAGTTACATGTGGGCTATTGGAAACCACAGGTTTATTATCATTATTAAACAGGTTTATTTAAGTAAAACGAGCTGGTTTTGAGAACACGGCAGTGCTCGAGTCACTGCACAGTCGGACCGAGGCACCAACAGCGCCGTGGCTGTTTGATAACACCGTTTTAACGGGCATAAACGCCGTTTGCCCTCACGTCCCCACCTTCTTTCGGACTCTCAAAGTTGGCTTTACCGGGGGAAGCAGTCACCGCGGGACCGTGTACTCACTGGGCCACAGGGCGTGGGGATGAGCTGCCGGTGCCGGGGGGTGAGGTTCGGCTGAGGGGGGGCTGCGCTGCCGCTGCAAAGGAGAGAAACTGGGAATGGGAATGGGACCGGGAATGGGACCGGGAATGGGAATAGGCACGGGAACGCTCACCAGAACCGCCCACCCTCCGGCAGGGACCACTCGCGCCCTCACAAGTGGGCCGTACCAACCGGAGGAGGGGGCGGAGAAGTAGCCCAGGCCCCTCCCCTCTCCGGCTCACGCCCTCCCGGGTAACGGGGCGGGGGAGCGCCGAGAACCACCCTCTGCTCAGCGCTTGGTTCCGCCCAGCCTCCCCTCCCTGCGCCGCTGATGGAGCTCAGCGGGTTCCCGCCGCTACCTGTCCTCGACGCCCTCCATGGCCGCTCCGGTAACGGTAACGGGACCTACATGGCTGCGGCGGCCAAGCGCGGGTTCCGGGCAGCGCCCGCACTTCCGGGGCAGGCCGGGCGAGCGCGGGACGTCACTTCCCCGTCGCGGGTAGCGGGATGCGACGCTCCGTTGTGCCCCACGCTTCGGTGCGCTCCTCACGCGGAGCGGCCGCGCCAGGGGCAGGCGGGCCGGTGCTTGCGGCCCGGCTCGGTGTGAGACGTGGGCCTCGAGTGAAGCGCCTGGCGGAGCCGTGTGTGGGCTCAGCCGGCTGCACCCGGAGCTGCGTCCCCTGTAACCTCCCTTCCTTTGTGCTCACTGTTCTTTTGTGGTGGTTTTCTCCCCAAAATGGCGCCCTGTTGTCCGCATGTCGCGACAGGGCGGCAAACGGGTGCTGTGACAAAGGGGCCCAGGCCCCAGCTCCCTTCCCGGCACAGGGCGGCTGCCGGAGATGCGCTTTGCCCGCCGGGGCTGTTGCCTCCGGGGAGCGCTCCCGCTCCATCCATCACCCATCCGCGCAGCTCGGCGCTGGGGGCGGTGCGCGGCGGGGGCGCTGCCCCAGGCTGGGGGAGCTCCGCCCGGTGCGACCGGGAGCGCCGGGGCTTTGGCAGCGGAGCCCCCCGGGGGCGCTGCCCAGCTCTTGGGAGGGAGCCCCGGGGCCGGGCTGTGCTGCAGGGGAGATCCGCAGCCCGAGTGCTGTCTCGGCGGCGGCCGGCCCGGAGGAGGGGTGGGGATCCGTGCTGCTTCATGCAAAGGAGGTGCCCTCTGCAGAGGAAAGTCGGGTCTGAAGGTCGAGGTACAGCACCGCTCCCGGGAGGGGATCTGAACCGCCGTGAAGCCGCTCTCCCATTCGGGATGCTCGGCCGGCCCCGAAGGCTCCGTGATACGGAACAGCCGCGGGTCTGCCCGGTGCCCGGTCCGATGAGGGCAGGGAAGGGTTTAGGACTGAGTGACTGGAAGTACAGCTGGACTGCGAGAAAGTACTGAGCTATTTCCATCTTTTAGCATATTTCTCATTTTATTTTTCACTTAAAGATCTGTTTTAGTGACAAGATAATGGGGAATGGCATTAAAATGACAGAGGGGCGATTGAGATTAGTTATTAGGCAGAAGCTCTTCCCTGTGAGGGTGCTGAGGCGCTGGCACAGGGTGCCCAGAGAAGCTGTGGCTGCCCCATCCCTGGCAGTGCTCAAGGCCAGGTTGGACACAGGGGCTTGGAGCAAGCTGCTCCAGTGGAAGGGGTCCCTGCCTGTGGCAGGGGTTGGGGCTGGAGGAGCGTCTTAATTTTTGATAATTTCTTTAAAAACAGGGTTAAATCTGCAGTTTCTTATGAGAAGGAAGTTGAAGTGAATACCATTACGAGGTTTTTTGACATGTGTCGGTGATAATTACACTGAAACAGTTCAATATTGAGTAGGGTTTATCTCTTGCCAAGCTTATTCTCTATATTTTTCCACCTTTAATGCAGCATTCTTATTCCTAACATAGTTAAAAGTTGGAGAAGATACAAGGAAGAGTGCAAAACACGCTGCAGGCTGCTGTTCTTTTGAGCTGCGAGACTGATTCTGTGTGTGTCATCCAAGAGCCAACCACTGCCACGTTTTCATCTATTGGTAAACATCAGCTGCGAGTTGGTCTTAAGGGAGGATGACTGAATTGGTTCCAGATGGAAAACTCTTTCAGCTCATTTAAGATCTTCCAGTTGATTTCAGACAGCAGGTCAGTAATTCAAGTGTGTAGTGTTGTTCTCTTTTGCTGTTGTGCTTCCTGCCACGTGTGGTATCAGTGCTATCAAATATGATACCAATGCTGCTGAGGGTGGGAGTTTTATTGTGCATAAGTGCTTTTGGTTTTGAGTAGCAGAAACAGTAAAAGTATTACAAAATTGTGATAACTGTTCTGAATGTGGAGGGCTTTTAATACAAGTATATGGTTTTAACATGAGTGTGTCAGAGGGGCTTGTACCTCAACACGCTGCTGCCTTGATTTCCTGGTAAAATGTCAGGAAATTAAGGGGATGGGGTGGAAACCTTCTGTGCACGGCTGTCATACCAGAAACAGAACCAGAGGGATGGAAAATTTCAGTGTAAAGTAGCTGCTGTTTAGGAAATCAGAAGTGAAACACTATGTTTAACTCTTTAGTACACATTTATGATTTACTTCAAGATGCTGTGTCCTGTTCACATGCTGACAAAATCAGCAGCAGCTCTTGTTATAGCTCCTGTATTTTTGCTTGCCTTTGATTAGTTCTTATGCTGCCACTGTATGATGCACTGTAGTGCTATGATCTCATTTCAGGCAGCTTTTCCAAGGTGTTCAGTGATCCCCCTCCAGTGATTACTTTTTAACTGCATAACATTCTCCATCTTGTTTATCCAGCAAATTTCCTTCTGGATGAAGGTATTTCAAGTGTAGTTTCTCCTAGTGTGTATTTGTTGAGGAACAGAAGAGGTCCTGTCCATCCATTCTTATCTGACTCATCCTGTTTTCTTTTGCTCCTAAAACATAGACTGCAAAATAGGAAGCAGGAAAGCCAATGGTGTGTTTTAGTGTTGTAGATAAGCTGCTTGCATGCAATTTCTTTCTTCCTTAATATGGACTTTGAATCTGTTAGCATCATGATACCAACCAACATTACATGACTTAAGAGTAAAGGTCACCATATGTTTTTGTTAGTCCCTGTACTCTTCTACTGTAACTGGTCATCCTTCAGGTAATTTACAAAAGGAGAAACCCGTGGTTGGAAACGATTTGATGCTTTTTCATCTCAGATCTTTTAAAAAGGCTTTAAGAATTACTGCAAATACTAATACTGAATTACAAGCTCACATTTACCAGGATAACTGTGGTTATGATTACTAGAACTTACAGTCCTTGATTATTGACTCCAGTTGATAACAGGGTCAGTTAGTGCTAAGGGAACAGGCTCCTGCCCAGGTTTTCTGGGTTGTGAAGATTTTTCTGTTGAGTGGTTATAAGAAGACCTTAGACTGAGATCAAAGAAACTGTAGAATCTTGAAGAGGAGCTAACTGTAATTGAAAAGGCTGTGTTGATGGGTGAAGCCTTCTGTGTTTGTGCATGCTATTTTATATCTCCCTTATCTAAGTTCGTGCTTAGTCTTGGTATCATATTAGGAGTGCAAACTCCAGTCTGACAGACAAGCTACTGAAGTCTTTTTTTAGCTTGTGTAAACTGCAGGTAAAATGTGGTATCTTTGCTGCATCAGGAATTTCAGATGTCACTATGTTCAGAGCTACATGCTTTTTTACTTCTTTGGTTTTTTTCATTCTAGGCAGAAAAAATGGAATAGACCACACAAAGCAGCATGTGAAGTTCACCTTTATGCAAGATGTAATTTGGAGGACCAAGTACACTTCTTCAGGCCATGGGAGACGAAATACTGAGCACATGATAGTTTTGTTTCATCCAAGTGCTGTTCTGTGCTGAGTCAATGTTGGTTTGTATTAAGGACAAGTACTGATTTCTTCAGGTCAGCATGTCGACTGTGACGAGTGCTCAGACACCAGAGGAACCTAATCCTCCTCCCCTTGAAGAAAAGCCAAAGGGAAAATCACTGTTTCAATTGGGTTCGCTCTTTGCTAACAGGAGTGAGAAGTTTGTAATTGCTAGGAGTGACAGTGTGCCAGAGGAGAACGTGCTGAAAATAACCATCACAGAGACCACGGTCATTGAGTCGGACTTGGGCATCTGGAATTCTCATGCTCTCATCTACCTCACTTTGTGGTTTTTCTTCAGCTTTTGCACCCTTTTTCTTAACAAATACATTCTTTCATTACTGGAAGGAGAGCCCAGCATGCTAGGTAACCGTATCTCTGTTACGCTTTAATTCCAATGAGATATTTGACAATACCACCTCCTCCAATATAAAATTGAGAGACAGAATGGTTCAGCTGAAGTGAAAGAGACCTAGTTAGGAGGTGTGGGTTGGATCTCTGGGCTGGGAACTCAAGAGTTGTGATCTCAGCCTGTGAAGGGGAATCTGACACTGTCCTTTCCTCCGCTTCCTGAAAGATGGTGTCTGAGAGCTAAGAGCCATAAAGCAAAATGCACTTTTTTTTCTGTGTTGGAGGGTAGTGTGGGTTTTTACAGAAAATAAAATCTTGTGATTTATGCTTTTTTCCCTCTCATCTTTCTTTAGGTGCTGTTCAGATGCTTTCAACCACCTTCATCGGCTGTATCAAAATGTTTGTTCCATGCTGCTTATATCAACACAAAACACGCATCTCTTATCCACCCAATTTCATCATGATAATGCTGTTTGTTGGATTAATGAGGTGAGTGGGTAAATAATTCCTAGAGATCATTCTTCTGAACTAAAGAAATCATAATGCAGTTCTTTTTTCATTCTAGATGTCTAAGAGTAGCTCTTAAAGCATTGCTCTTTCTGCTTCATTTCATGTGGTGTTCCACTCCAGATTTGCAACGGTTGTCTTGGGTCTTGTCAGCTTGAAAAATGTGGCAGTTTCATTTGCAGAAACTGTGAAAAGCTCTGCACCTATTTTTACTGTTATCATGTCTCGGATGATACTGGGGGAATACACTGGTGAGTACTTTTACATTGAAATGTGATTTCCACTTGCAACCTCATGCTCTTTGCTTGAAGAGATTTTGCTTCTTACAAGATATAAGTCATAGAAGTAATACAGAAGCCACATATAGATTGGTTTGTGATGCAAATGGCAGAAGGCCGGAATGAGCCAGAGGAAGAAGAGTTAATTCAGTCACAGAATAAGCAGGGAGATTGTAATTTTTTCCTGCCATTTGGTGAAAAAAGATCCGTTTTCTTTCTCCAAGGGAGATTTATCAGAAAGCACATGTCCGTATCGTTTTCAGGAGCACCCTGCTCTTGGCTAAGATCTCTGTGCTTTAAAATTCAGTCGCATAAGTTGCTCTTTCTTTCAACTAAAGAAATTAAGGTGGAATATAAGCTTTCAAAAACTACAGTATCTGGTACCTGTAACTGGAAGTGCATGAATTAAACTCAGATTTCAATTTTTCCTTTCCTTTGCAGGATTGCTGGTTAATCTCTCCCTGATTCCTGTTATGGGTGGGCTAGCTCTGTGTACAGCTACTGAAATCAGTTTCAACATTCTAGGTTTCTCGGCAGCTTTATCTACTAATATCATGGACTGGTAAGGCAGTGATAGTTTCACATTGTAGAATAGAAGATAATTGTTAGAAGACAATAGTTGCTTGTAGTTGGGTTTGTACACTACATTAAAGTCATGGTATTTAAAGTTATTTTAACAGAAGATAGAGTTTCTCTATCATGTCTGCTAGCATTAATGTGATTAAAAAATAGTACAACTCTTAGTTTAAAGGAGTTAGACCAGACTTCTTTCTGTAGTTGTATAATGTGTGGCAAACTTATCTACCCATCTATGGGAAACAACTTCCTGATTATTTGTCCTAACTAAAATACAGGTAAATGGTGTTTGTGTTTTCCAGTTTGCAGAATGTCTTTTCCAAAAAACTACTCAGTGGAGATAAATACAGATTTTCGTAAGTATTAAAAGTATTTCAGGATTGCTTATAGATGGAACCTGGGCTGCATAAAAAAGCATGTCTTTATGATTATAGTGCACCAAGATTTTCTTAGACTGTTTACAGACTGTTTATCATTTTATTAGGGAAAGAAAACCCCTATCCTCAGATCCCACTGCAGCAGGTTTGAGTTTCATAGCTGACTAGAACTCTCAGCATACCCACAGTGAGTTATCTTTGCACAGAAATAACTCAGTACTCTGTTATCATTAACCATCCCTTAATGTTATTAGGCATGTAGAAATGGACTTAAGAACTCACTTCATGTTTTAAAACATAGGAAACTTGAGCCAAGAGTCAAAACTTGGGGTAAGATACACCTATAGCTGTGTGTATGTACTTTAACACAGGATAAAGTGCTAGTTTTGGTCTTGAAGGCACGTGCCTTTTATCTTCATCTCGGCCAACACAAAAAGCAAAACACTATCTTTGCAAGAGACTGCTAAATTGATTGTCCCCAAAGCTTGGTAAATGGCATTTATTACTTTTGATACCTGTAAATACAATAATGATGCAGCTTTCTTCAGCTCTAAGAAAGAGGAAGCTTTTAACCATTTAATGATTGTTTCTTTAACTTTGCAGAGCCCCAGAGCTTCAGTTCTACACAAGTGCTGCTGCAGTGGTTATGCTTATTCCAGCCTGGATATTTTTCATGGTAACATAGATTTAGGTTTTCTTTTTGACTTGTGATCAGAATGTGCAACTGGGGTTAGGTTTTGTTTTGCTGATATTTAACTGTAAAACTCTCTGCTTATAATAATAATGAGTTGAATGGGAAATCACTTTTAGATTTGCTTATAAACTAAACTCTTGAATTCCTCTTTTTTTGTTGTTCAGGATGTGCCTGTGATTGGGAAAAGTGGGAGGAGTTTCAGCTACAACCAAGATATTGTCATACTTCTCTTAATAGATGGCGTCTTGTTCCACCTACAAAGTGTTACAGCCTATGCCCTGATGGGAAAGATTTCTCCTGTGACTTTCAGGTAAAACTGTTCCTGTGTCAGGAACACTGTTTTATTTTCTCTTTTTCTTGCTTAGTATTGCTCTTGAGAACTAGGCAGTAAAAGCATTGTGCAAAGAAAGAAATAATGGAAATGCATAAATGCATCAAGTGAAGAAGAAAACTTTTCACATCTGGATGGCAACACTTTGTGATTGCTCCCTCGCTGTGAGGAGAGCAGCATTTGAGCCATGCTGTTTTGCTTATGGAACAGGGATACTCTATTCAGGTTTAACAGCCATTCCTTAAAGCTGGTTAATAAGGAACCCTAGATCCAACATTGAAGCTGCCATTTGCTTCAGTACAGAGTATGAGCAATTACTTCTGCCTTCCTTTTTTCTGAAGCATGACACGTCTCAAGCTGTATTTACTGAATTATGTGTAATTTAAAGGCAGCTTCCACTTACATTGTCAGATATCAGCAGCTTTGTTAGGCTGTTGCACAATTCTGATTCAATAATTGCTCTTCTGTATGGCTAGCCCTAGGGCATCTGGGGTAACCCTAGTCCTAAGCTCTGAAGGTCTTAAACTTGTATGTGGGATATGAGAGCTTGCTTTGGGCTTAATTTCTATATTCCTTTTCTAGTGTTGCCAGTACTGTGAAGCATGCACTGTCGATCTGGCTAAGTATTATTGTGTTTGGTAACAAAATCACAAGCCTCTCAGCCATTGGGACTGTTCTAGTGATAATTGGAGTTCTACTATATAACAAGGCAAAGCAGCATCAGCAAGAGACTATACACAGCCTGGCAGCTGCAGCCCCACAGTCGGCACAAAGTACAGCTGAAGATACTGAGCCACTGATTTCCAAGGATTTGGAACCGTATGATTAATGTGGCCGTTCATTCTTTCAACCTAGCATAACTCAGAAGAAGGAACTCTTTCTGAAAGTGGTTGTTTCTTCAACTGTTGATGCTGATTCAGTACCTTTGAGTTCATGGCAGGTCAAGCCTGGGACTTGAAGCAGAGAGAAAACAATGGGAAGAATGCAGTAAACCTGGATATACTGAGAAACTGGTGGACCAAACAGAGGACCTAATGTCATATAACGTGGTAAATGTGGGCTTTATTGTCTGTCTTTGACTGCAAGTAACGTACAAGCCTTTATTAAAGAAAGAACTTCAGTGTCTTGTGGGAAAACCATTCCTTTCTCCCTCCTCATCAAAATACTGTGAAAACATAGACCCATCACTGTAATTTACTTGCAGTGGAATGAGCTCGGTACAAAACTGATATTCCTAGTTGGGTGTTACTGTACTTTGCCTGCACCCTCCGTCATCTGTGTACGTCATAGAGCTGGAAGAAGGAAGCTCCTACTCTCCCAGCAAGTGACTTATTCTGGTATACATTTAGTTGAAGGGAACTCAGGCAATGAGTCCATGCCCCAAAGCAGTGACGAGCAGCTATTTCTGACCACAAAGCTAGGAATGAAAAGTGATTTTTCTACTGAACTATAACATGGAAATATTGCATCCTGGTTGCATTGACAATATTGAAATGCAAGTGTACACACCTATACCTACACTGTATAAATGGAATGTGGAATATCTGCAGTTGCTTAGAGGTAAAAAACACTGAAAAATTGTGGTGACAAAGGAAAAAGGATCTCTGCATTTCCACAAGAAACCATTTTACTATTTTAATTTCTTGCATTTTATTGTGTATTTCTGTTATGAGGAAATATCTTGGTATTATTTCTAAAAGTGCAACAAAATGCTGCCTTTTAGAAACTCAGGGTTATAATTGTCACCTATGTGCGAAGTATTTCTGTCATTTGTGCTTATGTAAAGAAGCTCAGAGCTATCTGTGACAGAGATGCAAGAGGGGTCATGAAAGGGAGGAACATTAACCATAAACTGAGGCTGATCTTAGTTTCTACTGCTCTTAAGTTTTCTTTTTGAAGGAAATTCTGTTTTGTGGTAGATTAAAGTTTAACTTTTCAGTAAAAAAACCCTTAAGTATTAGCAATTAGGTCTGGAAAAAAAAAAAAGCACAAAACCAGTCAAATGGACTTTTTTGGTGACAAAACTAACAACTAAAATGACCTGGTTCTTAGTAATTGCCACTCTTCTGACTGCAACGTGGAGTTAGAAGCATGGATAAAATGGTCTTTATGGTAAAAACAATTTCTAAGGGGAAGTTACCACTGGAGTTCCTGCAAAGTCTGAAGCTCAAGCTTAACATTTCCACATGTGAAACGTTGTTAGCTGTAGCAAGCTGTTCCTGTGGAGCAGAAATGTGTTCCTAGAGTCTGAAGAAGCCTGTGTTCAATATTGTGTGCTTGTTTTGTCTTAGCCTACTTCAGGTCACATTCCTATAGGTGACTGGTTCCCTGGGGCATATCCCTGGAGATGTAAGCGGGAGTGAGATGTCAGATGTTTTTCATCACTGTGTATGTGATGCCTGTGGATATTTTGTTTCTTTCTATTCCTGTCCCTTCAGTAAAAGCCCTGGACTGTGCGGTGGAGCTCTGTGGTTTGTCTTGTAGTTAGGCTTTCAAAACTCTCACTGTAGTTAGCAGAAAACAGAGGGGTTTGCATCAGGTTCCTCCTCTTGCTGAAAGTGAAACAGAGGTGGTTTCCGGGTTGCCCTGCTCCATTCTCATGTAAACCCCTTCACCAACGGATGGAGCTTCATTTTGAAAGCTCACAGGCTTTTGCCTTTCCTATTGTGGAGAACTTTGTGTGACCCTAGCAGCTGAGAGGATTTTAACTTGTTATTTCTGACACATGTCCAAGCTATTAGTGGCTGGTTGAGCCCCACCTGTTCTGTGGCAGCACAGTAATCCTCTTTCACGTGGAGTTTGTTTGCACAGGGTTGATCTTATGTACTTTTCTATGCAGTATCATTGGTCTTTATTAGATTAAACAAACCAACCTCTTCATTGTCCGTCCACTTGTCAGACCTTTCCTTGCTCCAGTCACAAGAGGAATTCTCTGTTGTTGTTGTTCCTGTTGGGTAAATGAGGGTTTCTGTTCTTTGTATCTGCCTTCCTGTTGCTTTGCACGATGGCAGTAGTGCTGATTTCTTCTGGAAAACAGTCTCTTGGAATGCTCTTGGGATTCTTTCAGTGTCCTTTCTTGCAGCCTCACCCCGATGCTCGAGCAGTGAGCCCGGAGCTGCACCTCTGTGGGTTATGTGCTTTACATTTGTTAAGTGCATTCTCATAGGAACAGCACCTCTTTCCTGAAGAATTCCTTGCTGAGTGGCAGCCTTGCAAATGTACAGTGACTTGCAGCAGCCAATGCTTCTGAAATGGCATTGCTTCCCAGTAACGAAGTAGCTGTATGTGATGATCTGTTCTATGGCATGCTGCGTTGTAACCTCTGGTCACCATTCAGTCACCTCACCCCATTCACAATAAGCGTGTTCATTGAGTTCATTCAGTTCTGTCTTCATCCTCCCAACTGATTTTCCTGTATAGGAGTTGCCCTTCTCACACTGAATGTAAATTGCCCCTCACTTGTGTTGCCATTCCGTGACGTGTTTAAGCGACCGTTGGGATCCTGCGTTATTCAAATGAGTAATAAACGTTAACTCCGGTTTCTCTCTGTACTTACACGGGTGATCCTATGGGGTGACGCGGGTGGGGGGGGTCACGTCACGTCTCGGGCGCGGCCGCTAGCTCGTTAATTACGGCACCAGCTCATTACCGCTATCTGCCACCGCCTGGGTGCCTGCGCCTGACGTCATCAGCCGGCTCCGGCGGGCGGAAGTGACGTACTTGCCCGGCGCTGCCAGTCGCAGTCTCCGGTAGCGGTGAGTGGGCCCGGCGGCCTCTGCCTCCGGGCGGCGGGGCCCGGGCAGACCCTGAGCAGCACCGGGGCTGAGCGGGAGCGGGAGCGGGGCGGGGAGGGTCCCACAGGTGAACTCGCTCTTTGAGGCGAAAGCGGCGGTGGGCCGTAAGGCTGTGTTATCGCCGCGGCCGTTGACGATGGGCAGGTTCCGTACCGGGCGGAACGGGGTCTGCTGGGGGGTGTTGTGTCCAGCGTTCCGTGCCGCAGCCGTACGGACAGGGATGGGCCGGCGCCTGCCGCCGCCGCTGCGTGCTCCTCGGTGGAGAAACGCCAGAGCCTGCTCGTAAACGGCGTTTGTGGTTGACTGGCGCAGGCCCCTGTGCTCAATAGTGAGGGTGGTGGGAGCTGCCGGGGGTAAAGCGTCTCTTGTGGTTCAGGCTGAGTCCTGCTTCACTTGACTTGAATCAGGTGTATTCATAACCGAACTTCCCTGCGTACGAAAAGCCAGTGTAAAACTGATGTAGTTGTGTCGGACCGTGTGGCTTGTGTAGGTTTCATTGACGTTGTTCTCTTTTTCAGAGGTTTTTTTGTTTTAAACTCCAATGGGTGATGAAAAGGATTCTTGGAAAGTGAAAACTTTAGATGAAATTCTTCAGGAAAAAAAACGAAGGAAGGAGCAAGAGGAGAAGGCAGAGATAAAGCGCATGAAAAACGTAAGCTGCCCTTTGGTGTGTTTGGGATGAAACTTGAGTTTCATTCCACGTCTGTATCTTCATGTCCTCATGAGAACAGGGCTTCTGAGTGTTGTTTTTTTCACTGTGTGGTATAACAATTAATTGCATTTTGGTTTCCCCCTTTCTTGTTCTCCTGTGGCAGTCAGATGATAGGGACTCAAAGCGGGATTCTCTCGAAGAGGGGGAGTTGAGGGATCACCGCATGGAAATAACCATCAGAAATTCACCTTACAGGAGGGAGGACTCTATGGAAGACAGGTAAGGCTAAGAGCATCACCTTGTTGTCTTGGGAAGAGCTACTGAATTTAACCTTAGGAAGCTGAGAAGAGGGTTTAAAAATATCCGAAGGGAACAAGTCTAAGTTCTTTAGCAACACAGGTGTGCCATGTGCTGCTTCTAGAACATGCCAGGATATCTTTTGAGGTACTGATTAAGGTTTAATGGTGTATTGTGTCCCAGTTTTGGCCACTGCCTAGTAATATTTCACTTAAATAAAGCTTAAGTTAGACCAGGCCTGCTAAGTTCTCTTCAGTGCTTAATTCACCCCTAGTTGCTTGTGTATTCAGAATGTGCTTATAGTAATAGCTTAACTTCTCCTCTATGTGACTATGATTCTCTGTAACATACTGTTAATGCCTTGCTTCAATGGCATTATGGAAATAATATAAATTAATAAAAGAGGGAAAAATGTATTCTTTTCAAAATGGAGAAGAGAGGAACTGACCCCCACTGTGCTTGAGAGTCCGTGAAACCTTCCTGAGTTTGTTACCTTGCCTTGTGTTTTAGGGGAGAGGAAGACGATTCCTTGGCTATAAAACCACCGCAGCAAATGTCACGGAAAGAAAAAACCCATCATAGAAAAGATGAGAAGAGGAAAGAGAAACGCAGACATCGCAGTCACTCAGCAGAAGGTTCTTATTCCTACTTTTGGATAACATTCCTGGTAGCTTCCTGAAGTGAAGCCAAACAGGGGCTCTGTTGGCAGTAAATAACAGTGACTACAAACCAAAGAAAACCTGACAGTGGATAAGGCAGAGGAGTTTAAACTTGTATTATTTCCTTGGTTCTGTTTAATGCCCTTATGGGAGCGACAGGGGTTTGTGTGTGTTTGAGAGGACAGAAATCACTTTGGGATAGGGACACCGAGTCTACTTTTACTCTTTGAAATCTGTTAAGCTTCTTTCCTGGCTTCACTGAGCGAGTGAGCTGAGGTATGATCTTTCTACCTGACTATAACACAGAAAACACTCTTTCTGGGAACATCCCTGTTGTATTCCTGTTATTAATGGCCTTTTCCTATTTTAATGTCAGTATTTGTGCAAGATCTTCCAGTCTTTAAATTTTCCAACACCCTTTCAGATCAGGTTTTTTCTATTAAGAAAATAGCAGAGAACATGACAAAAGGTTACCGTAAGCTTCATCCTTTCTAGTTTTGCTTTCTAAAAATAGGAGCACTCAATATTTTGAATAGTAACACTCCAAAATTCGTTTTTGTTTGTTTAGGGAAACATGCCAGAGTGAAAGAGAAAGAACGGGAACATGAGCGTAGGAAGAGACATAGAGAAGAGCAGGATAAAGCCCGTCGTGAATGGGAAAGACAGAAACGGAGAGAAATGGCAAGGGAGCATTCCAGGAGGGAGAGGTACATCCATCCCTCCCTGCCCTGTGACAAAGCAGCAGAGATGAACAGCTTCCTTCTCTTAATCTGTCTCTAACCTTTCCTTGTTCTGAAATGACAAGTTCAGAGCAAAAGCTTGCAAGCTGTGGTGCCAGTGCCATGTTCTTTGAATGTGTTGCCTAATGACGATGTGTTCTTGGCTTTAATGACCTTTGTAAGTGGCTTCATTACAACAGGTGAATTCATTGCCAGTGGTGAATTTGTAGGTGAACTCATTGCCACTGTTATAATATAATGAAAAAAGTGTGAACCAGGGGGTTTATTAACAGAACTTGCTGAAGTTCTGTGTAAACCCTGGGAAGGTGCTGAAGCTTTTGTGTTAGAGTTCATGGACTCTGTCTTTGAAATGCTGCGTTTAAAGCATCAGCTGAAAAGCTGTGTGTCATTTTGACTGATACACAGTCAGTGTTATTGTTGCTAATGAAATCAGATGGCCCTGTAGTTTCTTATAGCAAGAAAGTTTTCCTTCATAAGCTGAGTTTTTAGTGAGCTGTAGTGTAACAGCGGATAATTGTGTTCTAGAGATCGCCTGGAGCAACTTGAGAGGGAACGAGAGAGAAAAATCCGAGAGCAGCAGAAGGAACAAAGGGAGCAGAAGGAACGGGAAAGGCGAGCTGAAGAGAGACGTAAGGAACGGGAAGCCAGGAGAGAAGGTAAGTGTCTGTGTTAATGTAGTTTGGGCTTAATATCTGCTGATACAGTGGGGAATGGAGGTGTAGAAAACATCTTTTACTTAGGTGAGTGCCAGAGTAAAGAAAGAATGTTAAAGTGGAGGGGGGCCTTCTATGTTGGAGGGGAAAAACCCCAATCTGTTAAGTTGTACAGTATCATGTACCTTAAATGTTGCAACATAACGATCAGTTAGTGGGTCTTTGCCACTCTTTTGGCCTGGTTTCCTATGGAAACAAGCTTTAATTGACATTGTCTCTGTGTGTGTGCGTGTGTGTGTGTTCATCCCAATCCCAGTTGCTTCTGAACTCTTTGGCTGAGTCTAACCCAATCTGACAGAGACTGAAGTCTCAAAAGTAAGTGTTTTAAGGATTTGGGGAAATAAATTACAAAGGGAGGGAGAGAGATCATGTAAGTACTCCAGCCATGGAAATGGCTGCAGTGGGAGTCAAGTGGGAAAGATCTGGTAACTGAGCAATTTAAATCAACTTCTGTGTTCAAGCCTCGCTTTGCATAGCACAGAGGATGCTTGCAGTCTAAGTTCAGATACATTCTGGTCAAAGGATCTCTGTCCCAGCTTTCAGAGGTAAAAATCAGTGCCCATTCACATGGTCAAGTGACAGAGACTGTTCCTGTGGAGCAGACGAAGCCATATTATTGCTGCTATTTCTTGTTCAGCTCATACCAAACAACTCTTTGTGCTTGGTATTTGCACTGATACTGCTCAATCTACTTAGCCTTTCATTTTAGTCATTCTTATTGCTCTAAATGTTCTGTCAGCTCCTTCTAAACCTGGTTTTATTCTTTTATGCATTTTCCTGGTCTGTTCACTTCTCTCTTTGGCACTGATGGCTTAGTTTCAGGGTATTTACTGTATAATATGTAGGGCATCTTGCTTCCTTTTCCCAAGTATGGCAGCACCTTCCTCTAAGTAGTACAAACCCATGGATTTTTGTGCATGAGGTAAATCATATTCCTTTACTCTGCTACATCTGGTTAGGCTCTACTTCCACACCTCTCCATTACCCTTTAGTTGTAAGGAAAAACCTAAAGGGTGCAAAGCAGGAGGTT